ATCAATACCCAAATATAATTATAATTGTCACCAAAAAAACAAATTAATAAAAAATTGTGGCAAACAGACCCTTAATTTTGCCAGTTAATAATATTCAGTTATTTAAGAAAGTTGTATATATATATATATGAATGTTACGAGGATCCATGTCCATTATTCCCGGACATAAGCATTCTTATAATGAAGGCTACATAAGCTTGAAGATAGGGACACAAACATATTCACAATGCCAAAACAATCTCCAAAACGACAGATTTATTCCATTCATCGTCAGCAAAAGGTAGTTGACCTTATGTCTAATATAATAAACATTAGAAAGCACATTAAGGATTTATTTAGGAGATTTTTTTTTCTATTTTATACAAAAAAGTTTTAATACAAATTTTTTTTAACTTAAAATTTTTTACTAAAAAATTACTTCATAAAACAATAAGAAAGATGTACCAAATAAAGCCAAAATCTCCTGGAATCAATTAACCAATCATGCCAAAAAAGTAAAACTCCTTGCCCACGATAAATTATTCTGTGCGGAAACCGGACGTCATCCGGAGGCCAATTAGAATGCACCATGTCACTTTTTTGCTCGATATCAATGCTAGGTGCTGGGTGACGTGGCGTAATCCAATTAGCCTCTGGACCATCTAATGTCTACCAAGAATGATTTTTCCTTGCCCAAACCACATATAGACTTTTTTTTGCCTAATTTTAATGACTGAAAGTCAAAATTATAAATAAAAATAAAAGTCCCAATTGAATTAAATTATTAGAAAGAATGAATAAATAAATAAAAATTGAGAGAATGTGAAGATGCCAATAAAAGAATCTCTAATTGTGAATACATTGTACAGACAAACTTCTAAAAAAAATAGGAACTCTGAAAATCTATTACTTAAAAGAGAGAAAAATTATATTAGAAATATCAGAACATAGTTTTTGATCGGATTGGATTTAAAATTAGAAGATTTTTTTTAGATTAGTGCTATACAATAAAAGTTTCTTTTTTGAATTAATCTCAAAGAAAATTAAAAAAAATTAAGGTAATTACAAATAAAAAATTATATTAATTTATTCTAAGTAAAATTATGTTTATTAAATTTTGATTTTTTGTTTAAATTAGAAAACAGTTTTTTTTAAAATAATATTTTCATTGCAGGCATAATATTGAATGAACTTTAAAAAATAGCAAAATAAAGATAAAAATAATCAATAAATTTTAATAATCCTTAATTAAATTCAAATAAAATTTCAAAATTTAACATCCTTCAGTTGTCCTCGAATAAAAGATATTGAATTTTTTTTATAATCTTTAGATAAATTAAATTTTAGAGAAATGATATTAAGAAGATGTTTTAACTAACCTAACATGAGCACATAGATCCAACACCATTTATAATTTTAGGATTCATTTGGGACAATTTTCTTACTGCTTACTAAATCAACTTTTTAATTCAAAATTTTTTTGAGCCATTAATTTTTTTTTACTAAAAAGCTGATTTATAAAACAGTAAGAACGTTGCCCCAACCAAAGCTTTAATTATTGCATTTAGATTTTATTTAGGATAATTTTTTCGTTGATTTGATTTTCTAACAACAATAAGAATATCGTTTAGCTATTGTTTTTATGTTGCTTTTTTACGTTTCTTTTTAAAAAAAATTGTGGCGAAAGGGGTTTTGTACAATAATAGTACTAGATAAATTATTTTCTCATAGTTTTGGATGGTTACAGCTTCTTATAAAGTAGGTCGTGAAATTGTTAGCAAAAATAGCTTAACTATTATGATTGTAAGAAAATAATTTTATACTACAAAAATTTTAAAAAGATTTGAAAAATAATACAAAATTAGCACCTAAATAAAATTATAATTATTGTCTAAAAAATAAATCAACAAAACACAGTGACAAATAGACCCTTAATTTTGTCAGCTAATAATATTCAGATATTTGAGAAAGTTAACGAGGATTCCTCTCCATTATTCCCGGACATGAGCAATGCTACGGAAGATCAAAGATAGGGATACAAACATATTCACAAGTCCAGAAAAATCTCCTAAGGGATAGATTTAATCAAATTTTTAATTCAAAATTTTTTTGAGCCATTAATGTTTTTATTAAAAACTGATTTATATAGCAAATTAATAAGAAAGTTGTCCCAACTGATGCTTTAATTATTGCATTTAGATTTTATTTAGGACAATTGTTTCGTTGATTTGTTTTTCTGTTGCTTTTTGACTTTTCTTATTAAAAAAATTGTTGCGAAAGGTGTTTTGTACAATAATATTACCTAAATTATTTTCTCATAGTTTTGGATGGTTACAGCTTCTTATAAAGTAGGTCGTGAAATTGTTAGCGAAAATAGCTTAACTATTATGATTGTAAGAAAATAATTTTATACTACAAAATTTTTAAAAAGATTTGAAAAATAATAAAAATTAGCATCTAAATAAAATTATGATTATTGTCTTAAAAAATAAATTAACAAAACACTGTGACAAATAGACACTTAATTTTGTCAGCTAATAATATTCAGATATTTGAGAAAGTTAACGAGGATTCCTCTCCATTATTCCCGGACATGAGCATTCTAATAATGAATGCTACGGAAGATCAAAGATAGGGATACAAACATATTCACAAGTCCAGAAAAATCTCCTAAGGGATAGATTTATATCATTCATCATCAGCAAAAGGTAGTTGACTTTAATACTAATATAATAAACATTAGAAAGCATATAAAGGCTTCAATTTGGACCCTTTTTTTTTCTAATTTATAAAATAAAATTTTAATGCAATTTTTTTTTTAATTTTAAAATTTTTATTAAAAAAATTACTTCATAAGGTAATAAGAAAGTTGTAACAAATAAATGAGAGGAGTTTATGGATTAGGCTCGCAAGCATACATGTAGGAGAGACGGTCCTTTGGTGGCTCCAACTTCTTAAGAAGCAGCTATGAGAGTTTGTGTAGTCAACAAATGACTGCCTCAGCAGAGTTAGAGCATGTCCGAAAATCACAAGCTGACATGCATATGTAGATACTTATGCAACAAAATCAGATAATGGAGGAGTTGTAGAGAATGATGGATCAATTTAGTGGAAAGCAACCAACATCAGAAGAGGAGGAGAATAAAGAAATAGATTTTGAATAAACGATATGTATTTGTAGATTGATGTTGAGTTTTTATTGCATAAGAAAATGATGTTTATTGTAGAACATTTGTTTTAATTTTAATTAAATGTGTTTTACTTTAGCATTAGTATTTATGTGTAATTTTGAAATATGAGGATACTATATTTATGTTTTGATTGTATATGATTATAAAACTGTTGTGTTGTACAATAATTAAGGTAAAATGCTATTTTTTTTATGTGCTAGCTACAAGTTTCCCGCTTGTTTGATATTCGAAACCTGCTCCACTCGTAAAAAAAACTATTAACCTTCTCCACTTGGCCATGGAGACAAAATAGTTTATAATTCTTTTATATATATTATAACTCAACTCGCGGCGGATTACGGCGGCAATTTCTGCCGCAAAATTGTGGCGAAATTTCTGTCACAAATTCATCGCTAAAAAATAAAAATTTTTTCTACGAAACTGTTATCAGACAACCATGAATGAATGACAGTAGTCAAGGGATGGTGGACAGATGTATGTAGTTCGTGAGAGTGGCCGAGGATTTATAGTTAAGAAATAATTATTGGAGGAGCATAATTTGGTGATTGTTATCAAAGAACCATAATCGGCTTAAGCAGGCTTGAATTAATTGTTGGTGGTTTAGTGATTGTAATAGGGTGACAGGCACTAGTGGTCAATGAATTAGATGGTGGTGGTGGCCAGTAGTGTTAGGCAGTGATGACAACCGTTGTAGGCTAGCGAATGTGGTGGTCGACAACAGGTGGTGGTGGTGATGGCCGGTGGGTAGTGGCGGTGGTTATCGAAGGCGGGTGGAGGCAGTCGATGATAGTGGCTAGTTGCAGTTGATGGCGGTCAAGTGAACTTGCTTGCGGAATAAAATGTTCTCACTCAAAACTGAATGAGTTTGATTTACCTAGAAAATGAACTAAAATATTTTGCACTACATTTACTTTCATTTACATTCCTTTTTTATTCAACCAAAAAAGAAATGTTGTGTAGAAGGGAAAAGAGTGTATTTAAAATTCTATGAAGTTTTTAGATGAGTGTAAAATAAATATCATTATTATTAATTTTTTTAAAGAAGAATATATAATTTAATGTATATGTTTTAATATGATATAAATAACTAGAAATTATAATTGCAACTGTAAAATTTTAAATTTTAGATATCTAATTATATACCAATTCTATGATATGTATGCAAACTCTTAACCTATTTAGTGTGATGAAGTAAGATGGACATGGACATCAATGATTATTTAGACTTCGTTTGGGATATTTTTTATTGGTTTGCTTCTTAGTCGTCAATCACAATTTTTGTTTGTCTACCAATTTTTGCCATCTTTAAAAAAAAATATTTTACTAAAAAACTGTTTTCTTTATCTGTTTTAAAAAATTACTTTCTCTTTTAACAATTTTACAAAACTATCACTTAAATTTTTTTTTTTTACAAAACTATCACAAAGCTGTCCCCGACTAAATGTTAGTTTTCAATAACAGGTGCAAAAAACTATCGGCTAAGTTATAAAGAAATTTATTGGCATTTGTTTTCGTTTATAAAATTGGTAATTTAAATTTGAAAAAAATTAATGACTTAAACTTGATGTTTCCATCTTTCTGCTATTAATGATTTAATTATTTAATTTCACAAATTCGGCAGCCTACCAACTAATATAATTAATAGGAAAAACAGTAGATGCCATTCAACTAATGATAAAAATTTCACGTCCAGCAGAAACTCAACCCCTTGTCTTATAGCCTGTCATTAGATTTGCCATTGTAAAGTTTCTTAGCTATATAAAGGTGGCAAGACGGGGATAATGTGAGTCAGGGAGAAGAAACGGATAGAGAAATATAGCTCAGATATCCATGGAGAAAAAGAAGGGAATGATGAAGGAGATAAAGAGGCAGATGTGCCTTGCAATGCCACTTACAGTTGCGAATTTCCTTATGTTTGCCCTCCAATTTGTATCGATAATGGTAGTTGGCCATATAAGTCACGAAAAGCTCGCCGGAGCCTCCATAGCCATTTCCTTCGTGAATTCACTTGGCTTCTCAGTGCTCGTATGTGCTTCTCCTTTATTTATTTTCCTTATTTGAGTTAGTGATGTAAGATCATTTATGTTTCTTCTTTCTCCTGCCCAATGATTAAGTAGATGGGAGCAAGTTCTGCACTAGATACCTTATGTGGACAATCTTTTGGAGCACAAAATTACAAGATGGTGGGTTTATATCTACAAAGAGCAATGGTCATTTGTGTCCTTATCAGCATTCCACTTGCCTTTGGCACGGCTTTCTCTGGCAGAATTCTTATTTTGCTCCGCCAAGTCCCGGAGATATCAATGGCAGCAGAATCTTATGCTCGGTTGATGATTCCATCACTATTCGCATTTGGCCTTATACAGTGCATCCTCAAGTTCTTACAAGCTCAAAAAATAGTGCTACCCATAATGTTTAGCAGTGGAATCACAGCTATTTTTCACGTCATCAATTGTTGGTTCTTTACATATAAAACTGGACTTGGTTATCGAGGAGCTGCGCTTTCTGTTTCAATCTCTTATTGGTTCAATTTACTGCTATTAGTACTATATGTCTTTCTATCACCCTCTTGCAAGTCAACATGGACTGGATTCTCTAGAGAAGCTTTTCATGGCTTGTGGGACTTTCTTAAACTCGGCATTCCTTCTACTTTGATGGTTTGGTTAGTAACTGATGCATTACTTCTTTGAATATCGATCATTGGTGCTCAATCCTTATGCATGCTTCTTACATGACATATATTTGTAGCTTTCAAAACTGGCAATTCGAGTTGTTGTTGATACTTGCTGGACTTCTTACAAATCCAGCGCTCCAAACGTCATTAATGTCAATAAGGTATTTTTTTTCTTAAATTTTATTGCGATTAAATTATTTTGATTTATATATGGTTAATTTATTCTAATTTCACAGTCAAAACATTTCTTCACTGGTGTATTGTGGTCCCCTTGGGGCTGAGTGGTGCAGTCAGGTTAGATGACATGATTTCTCTTCTTTCAAATACTAAACAACATCTGAAAGCTCATACTAAGTAAGTTTTCTTCATTTTTTTCAGTACCAGAATATCCAATGAATTGGGTGCACAAAATCCAGGGGCTGCTGTATTGGCTATCCTAACTGCGGCAGTAGCCATAATTATTGAAGGTGATAGTGGGATTTGGATGATTGGTGGACGGAACTTATGGGACATCTATAATACCAAAGAGAGGGAAGTTGTGAATGCTGTGCTGAATGATTCCATGGATAGCTCTATCCATTTCATTGATGGTTTCCAATGCGTGCTTTTAGGTATTTAAGCACTCTGCGCTAAGACTAATTAGCAAGGACTAATTCCTCTTGTTATTAATTGCTCTAATAATTCGTTATGAATTCAGGCACAATTAGAGAAGTGGTAGGCAAAAGATGGGTTTTTGTTTGTCTCGGTTCTTACCTCGTTGGATTTCCAGCATCTAACTTCTTGGTTTTTTTTCCATATGGATAAAGGGTCTTTGGATTGGAAACATCTGTGCGATTTTTGTTCAAGACGCGTGCTGCAAATAATGACAATGTTTACAAACTGAGAAACAGTAAGCTTTCTGAAAGGCTCGTTATTTGTTGCACTCTAAGGTTTCGTTTGGGATAGTCTTTACTTTCTATTTTAGAAAGGTTTCTTAAATACAATTTTTTTATTTGAAAAATTTAAATAAAAAGCTTATTTCATTTAAAAAAAAATGTCCATGAAAACCTAAGATATATTAACAAAAAAACTCTAGGCTTTTGTTTGGGATAATTTGACTGCTTTCTACAAAGTAATATTTTGAGTAAAAAAATTGAACTATCAATTTTGTATAAAAAAAATTTTTTGAAGATGCATCAAAGAAAGTCGCACCCAACACGAAGCTATATGGCTCGTTTGGGACGGCTTTTTTATTGCTTTCTAAAACGGAGTTTTTATTACCAAATTTTTTTATTTTTCGTACTAAAACTCCGTTTTAGAAAGCAATAAAAAAGCCTTCCCAAACGAAGCCTAAGAAGTGTTAGTAAAGTGCTTATCCTAATCGCATCATAAAATTATGTTTAATCTTTATTCTAAAAGAATCTTACATTTTACCCTATTTTTTTAAATAACAAGGTTATTGGAAGGCTTCTGGAAAGAGCTCAAACATCTGAGAAATCAGAGCCCAGACTATTGGATAGCAAATATGCCTTCATCCAGGCATTCCTTTTCCATTGCAATTGATCCGACAGAATTAAGTTAGTTCTAAACATATTGAAAATGATAAAACTTATGTGTTTTCTCCCGCTCTCTTTCCTCTCTTTCTCCTTTCTTTTCGATCTCCCTCTCTACAGTATAATATTTAGAAAATCTTGAAAGATAGGCATATATTATGTTTGACGTACCTGTTGACATCATTATTAAATAAATAAAATCAACTTATCTCTTGTGGAAGTGTCATATATATATATATATATATATATATATATTGGAAAATTTGGGGCTTTGCCTTTTCTATATATCATAGAAAAAAATTAATAGTAGCATCAAGGAAACTGATTATATGTGTAAGAGAAAAGAGAAACAAACAAACAAACAAAAGAAATACAAAATGGAAAGAAGAGAGTTTTTGAAGAAAAACAAAGCAAAAGTGAGACCGGAGTCGCCACCGAACAAGCTCAGATTGGAGTCGCCACCGAACAAGCTCGTACCTGGGGGAAAGAACGCCAGGTGTAGGTGTCGGACCTAGCCACCATCATTCGGCCTTGGATGACCACGCTCACACCAATTTCTAGATCTCTTATTCTTTATCATATGCACAATCTTGTGAGGATACAGAAGGAAACCAGAGAAATATCAAAAACAGAACTCTTATTCTCGAATGAGGATTTCATTTGAAAAACAAAATAAAAAATTTGCCCCATTCTCTCTATGGGGAACTATTTATACACATAAGAGAAATAAACAGAACTAACGCCAGGCTACACCGCCGGCACACAAGAATAGAAACACAGGAATTAAATGTCGTAAGTAGACGCTTCGGCGTCATTCTAACGAGGTGGGAGAAGATTCAAGTTTGATGTGAGGGGTTAAGTCTGCTACATTAGACACAGCTGAAACTTTGTAATCACCCGACAAATCAATTTGATATGCATTGTCATTTATCTTCTTAATGACTCTAAAAGGTCAGTCGGCCTTTGGGTTAAGCTTCTCGAAGGGTCCGGGAGGAAATCGCTCTTTCCTCAATCTGATCCAGACGAGGTCTCCTTCTTGGAACTGGACAACCTTCCGGTATTTATTGGCTTTTGCTTGGTATTTGCAATTATGTTTGAGAATCTCGGCCTGGACTTACTAGTGCAATTTCTTTATTTCAAGGCTCCTTTGTTCACCTTCAGAACTATAGGATGAGGGGGAAAAAATAAGAATTAAGTCAAGAGGGGTCAAGGGATTACTTCCATAAACAATTTTGAAGGGACTGTGTCAAGTAGTATTGTAAGGGGATCGGTTGAATGCAAACTCGACTTGAGCCAGAATTAAATCCCATTGTTGAAGATACTTCCCTACAAACCAGCGTAGAAGATTTCTCAGACTCTGATTATCGTTTTCGGTTTGGCCATCCATATGGGATGTGCGATCGAGCTAAATTGTAGTCGGGTTCCCATTTTTCCCAACAATTCCAGAAATGACTTAAAAATTTGACATCACGATCCGAGGTGATGGTTCTGGGAATTCTATGAAGACGAACTATTTCTCTAAAATAGAGATCGCCAATGTGAGTGGCGTCAAGGGTCTTGTTACAAGCTACAAAATGGGCCATCTTTGAGAATCAATCTACGACCACCATGATAGAATATTTATTTCTTTGAGTTCTGGGTAGTCCCAACACAAAGTCCATTGAGACATCCTCCCATGGTCCTTGAGGAATGGGTAAAGGAAAATACAATCCTGCATTGTGTCCAGTAGTCTTTTCTTGCTGGTAGATTATGCACCCTTTCACATATTTGCCTACATCTTTAGGTAGAGCAGGCCAATAAAACTTCTCCTTGATCAAAGCCAAGGTTTTGTTGCGGCCGAAATGGCCCACCAAGCCGCCGTCATGGCATTCTGAAATCAACACAATTCTGAGGGAACACTTAGGGATACATATGCAATTGTGGAAAAATAAGTACCCATCTCGGATTTTAAAAAATTGATGTGCATGGTTTTGACATTTCTCCCAAATATTTTCAAAATCCATGTCCTGTGCATACAGTTCTCTGATGGAGTCAAAACCCATGAGCTTAGCTTGCATTTCCTGAACCAATACATGGCGCCTACTTAAGGCATCTACCACCTGATTCAGCTTGTCCGACTTGTGCTTTAACATGAAATGAAAGGCGGCTAAGGATCCAACCCACGTTGCGTGTCTACCGCGAAGTTTCTTCTGGCTATTGAGGAACTTCAAAGCAGCATGATGAGTAAAGAGAATAAACTCTTTAATTAGAAGATAGTGGCTCCAGTGATAAAGATCCCGCATAATAGCATAAAACTCCTTGTCGTAAGTGGAATATTTTTTCCGCTAGTCATTCAACTTCTCTCTAAAGTAAGCTATGGGCTGGTCTTCTTGGCTTAGGATGAAGGCTCCAATTCCCATATTAGATGCATCACAATCGACTTGGAACAACTTGTCAAAATAAGGTAGTCGAAGCACTGGTGTCGTGGTCACTCTCTCCTTGAGACATTCAAAACTACTTTTAGCTTCATTCGTCAAAAGGAAATTGTCTGCCTTTAACTCTTTGGTGAGTGGATCGAGCTGCAAGGGTACTAAAATTCTGAATGAACTGACAGTAAAATGAGGCCAGGCCATGGAACCTCTACAAGTTGGTGAAGGATTGCGGAGTAGAACAACTCATAATAGCTTCGATCTTCTCCGGATCAACTTCAATTCTGACTGCCGAAAGTATAAAACCCAAGAATTTAATGCGTTTGTCTAGGAATTGACACTTCTGAGGATTCAAATACAGCTTTTGTTCCCTTAACACCTCAAGCACCTGCCTTAGATAATATAAATTGCTATGAAGGTTGCTACTGCCGACAAGTATATCATTAAAGTAGATGATCACAAACTTGCACAAGAAAGGATGAAATATCTGATTCATTAATCGCATAAAAGTAGGCACATACTGTAAGTTCCATCAATATCTGATTCACGAACTCTGCTATCAATACACATCATGTAAGTTCTATCTTTCTTTGATACGAGCAAAGCAGGCACCACACATGGACTTATGCTTGGTCTTATTAATCCCCTGACCGTTAATCCTTCTACTTACCGCTTTAATTCTTCATGCTCCTATGGCCAGAGTCTATAGGGAGGACGATAGGGTAATGTTTCTCTAGAGACTAAGTCCATAGTGAGTTGAATATCTGAGAGGGGCGGTAGACCCGCAGGTAAATTGTTAGCAAAAACTTCTTGAAATTCTGCCAAAGCAGCTGAATCTATGGCGGGTGATGACATACATCATTATCAACTTCCTTGATGTAATACATAACAACTGCTAGCTTCTTGCATGGCTAAATGACATTCTGACTTGTTGATAATAAGTTGATCGGTTAAATACTTGCATTGCAACTCCTTCATCTTGTCCTAACTCATAATTTTGCTTCGACCTTTATGTAATCGTGTGCGCTTCAGATTTTCCCACCACAACGACGCATTTTTTGTCAGCTTGATGGCCACTAGTTTTACAATCCAATCAGGAGAAACTTATTTTTAATCAAGAACACATTCCATAGTATGCAACCAATTCAAGAATTCGTCTGGCTCCATCCTTTCATCAAATTCTGGAAGCTCGATTTTCACTCTTACATCATCTCTGGTCGTCGGTCTGCCTCGAGCTAGCCCTCGCCTATGGCTGTATTCGTCACTGGACATTTCTTGATGGAACAGATTGACTTTTTTTTTTGGTTAAAACCAACAGAGGGGCCTACACGTTAGTATCAAAAAAATGGTTACAAGGTCCTTAATAGGAATCTCCAGCTTGCTAATGCTCATCAGAGCTACAAAAAAATAAATCAAAAAGCCTAGTGGTTCATAATACTAACAATTACAAAATAACCTAAAAACATGCTAGGGTTGTAAGATATCAGCACCCAAAAAAGGAGTTGAGAAATAAAAGTAATACACATAGAACTCCTGCAAAATTCAAAATCAAACCTCCAAAAACTCTGGTCTTTCAACATCCATTGCTCCCTATAAGAAAGAAAAAATTCAGAAATTGAACTCCACACCTGCAAAAAAGAAAACCTCCAAAAAAATAGAGTATTGTGAAACCTATCCTGCCAATCGTAACTATGAAAGTTATTGCGCGTTAAGAACCAGACGGATATTACCATGCCTTTCTTACAAACTCCATTAATAAGACAGAGGAGCTCGAATGTACAGCATACACGAATCCTTATGAAAATAGAACTGAACTTGCAATTTAAAGTGAAACATTGCATAA